ATCTATCACCTTTGAAAAGGCTCTGTATTATTTGTTATCTTTGTTTATTAATTATGTTGACTAGCATGCAAAAAAAAAGAAAAGAAAGATCATGGACCATTCCTTTTTAATACAATCACTGCACTGGAATTCTTCTACATACTACAACCTAAGACGGACTATAAAGAATGAATGAAATTGAAGACAATATGTACTGAACTCACTTGTACTGAAGAATCGCCCATAATAAATTTGGCTCCCTCTGTCACAGCCAAGTATGAGAAGCGAAGTTGGTCTGCTGTTTGTATAAGCCCCATTCGGTATTTCCTCATTTCTAAAAGAACCTGTTTAATGTCAACAGAAGAAGGATCTTTCCTTTTGTCCATCTGCACAAAGAGAAATGACACTCAGTAAACTATCTTACCGTGTTCCTCAGAATTCACAGGGGCTTTTAAAATGAAACAAAGCGTATGATGTAAAAAAAATTCATCTATCAAAAAAAAAAAAAAAAAACACTTCACGAAAGCAGGAATAAGGAGAAATCAGCAGTTATGCACCAAACCAGAAAAATAATTCCTGAGAACAATCACATGCAACTCAACAAGAATTTGATCCCATAAAAGCAGTACAGTACTGCAAATTTTCATTGGCAGAGCAGTTGTAAAACACTGATATTAAGAGTACTCAAATCTCCTAAAATGACAAGATATTCAATAAAAACACAAAGACAGCACATTATATTATAGCTGAATTTCTGTGAACTTCACCCCATGATAATATAATATTAGGGGGGCTCAAAGAATCTTATTTCTTACCGCAACATATTAAAAATGACTCTTGCTCTGGAAATGCTTGCAGTTATCATGCTTAGTTCCAATGCCCAACAATAGATAAGGAATTACAATGCCCTCAGGCCCCTTAGAAACAGTCAGTTTTATTTGCTGTCTTTTATATCAGCCCAGAAGATGAGTTCTATGTTTGTAAATCACATTTCAGAATTTATTACTTCACAATAAAATGTTCTTAAAATTAAAATCCATTACTTTTAGGCTAAAATATTTTATAGCAATAAATATTATGTCTATAAAGCCCAACCTTGAGTCACTATGTGAGATGGCAGTTTCTAAGTAAGTAGGAAAGTAGNTTTTTTTAGCAGCATTACTTCAAAATCTAAGAGACTGGTTTGGACAAAACTCAACAGCACTTTTTTCTGTGGCTGTTGATAAAAATAGGATCGGCAACATGATCGCCAATGTCCGACGAAAGACATGGCACAAGAAGAAGTGTTACTTCAGAAGGCAAGTAAGAAAAACATTAGCTTCTTCCAGAGCTACTCTTTTGACTTATAAAAATCATACTTTAATGTCCTACATTAGGTAACTAAAGTAGCTCAGGTGTAGTAGGATGGCGTTTAACTCACAAATGGCAATATTATATTATCCATACTTCAATTTAAAGCATTTGAATTTAAAGCATTTAAAGGCTTCTTTTTCCAGAAAATAATGCAACTTGCCTCAAAAGTGACTCAACTTTCAAATGACTACTTTTATTTTATATGCTGACATATGTCATTATACGAAAGAGAATTATATTTTCAGTGTACTTTACTGAACACTATGGGGGAAAAAGAGCAGGGGCCACAAACTGGTGGGAACATACTATAAGCAGAGACAATTTGTTGAGGCTCTACAAGAAATGCTTATAGTAGCCCTTGGCAACATTACCTCTCCATGCCCTGCTGCTCAGAGGAACAAGCTCTGCCATCCAGAACACTGGTTTCCAAAGCGCTGGCAGCATACTTGATTTCTTCCTCAGCCCTTGGATGCTTTGAAGAAACTTCCATATCACCATGCACCCTTCCATTATTCATTTCAGAGGTTCTTTTGGGTGGCCTTGGAGGAGGAGGAGTATGTTCTGGTGGTGGATCCAAGTCTTCATTAGAGAGTTCTTTCCATTGCTCCTTCAATAAGAAGGATGAATTGATTAACGTATCCAAAATGATCATTAATTCCCCCAATCCCTGGAAATGTATATGTGTATATATATGGTACTGTATTTTTCTGAGTATAAGACGCACCAAGATTTTGAAGAAGCAAATTTAAAAAAAAAAGTTTTTTCAATCTGCAGGCCTCACGAAAACGGGCCCGGTTTTTGTAAAAAAAAAAAAAAGGTCTGTTTTTCGCTCATTTTTGCCCTCCCCAGCCTCCAGGAACACACTTCAAGCCTCCTAAAGGCTATGCATGGTCATTTTTGCAAAGGGGTGGGGGTTCGTGAGGCAAAAAATGCTGTATTCAGTGTATAAGACGCACCCAGATTTTCACCCTCTTTTTTGGGGGGAAAAGGACAAAACCCAGCCTGAAGATGGTGAGTGAGACCTCACTGAAATGTTGCCAAGACAATCTCAATCTTACAAGGGAAAAGACCTGAATACAACAAGACCAGTATCTCTACAACTGTGAAAATCTACGAATATATATATATATATATATATATATATATATATATATATATATATATATAT